GACTCCCAAGATTCTTCGTGGTACCCCAATCTTCAACGGCAACGCAGGTCTGCAGCAGCGTTGCATCCTGATAGTATTATTTGAAAATTTGATGCGAGAAACTAGGTGGTATATAGGGAGGTATGAACACTTGAATAAGCAGAGAAGGTAGAAAAGCAGCAACGCGCGGGAGAAAGAAGTGGTTCGAAATGCTTAGGTCAAGCTGTTCTGAACTAATTTTTAAAAGCGCTCTGTTACCGCTTTAATACTACGATGAGAAACGTGCCTAATTCTATTGAAAAACAGGTCTTTCCCGTGTGATATCGTATTAGTGTAATTACAGCGCTATTGCCATTTAGCTGCGCCGCAACTACGGAAGACAGGCATGCTGCCAGCTCCTTTTCGACCCTACAATTTCAGAGGCAAGACCAAATGCAGATATAGCACTTTTATTGTCCCAAGGACACTGGTATCCTTGTAAGGCACCAGGAGTCGGAAATAGTGGCTCATAAAAATAAGCCCTTTTCCTTGTTGCGTCGTGACTAGCTAGCTCTTCTTTTGTCGGGGAAACGAAGTAAATCTTTTTTTTTCATGCAGTGCTGCTCCAAGCTGGTGAGGTGTTTTTTGGAAAGCATCTTCAGAGAACTACAACCGGTAGCTTTCTTCCAGCTATCAAAGCTAATTTCAACGGTCTCAAACGTTGTTGCTGTGTGTGTCGATTGCGTGCCGCTTTCACTCAGCATCACGCTCGCCCTGTGGGTGTCCCGATATCTTAGCGTGTCAGGAAAAAGGTCTACATGATAAATACTGCTCATTGCGTTCTTGGCAGTATTCAGGACCTCCATTGCATGATGTAGCATCACAACCTTGCCCATATTCCGGGCCGGTTAAGGGTCAATAGCTGTAGTGGAGACCTAGTTGAATTGTTTCCAGTAGAAGACTGTGAGAGTAACGTTTGTTTACTAACTGCGCTTCATTGTGGATTATGGTTAGTTTACATTGATATTTGCTTTTAGTGCAATGTAGATATCCTAAGTAATTATTTGATTATTCCACTAATTAATAGTAAGTTATAACAATTTAGGTCCTTTGTTCATTAAACTCAGCATTTGTACTTAAAGGTTCCATCTGATCACTCCAAATTTATCACCAGCCTCCATGAACAAGCAAAATATCGCGGTATATACACACTGGCGAAACTAATACAATGCAACGCAGTATATATGTAAGACTAAAACGACGCCGATTAACTGCAGATCTACATATATATATGCCATGCACACACGTGTGCTTATTTGAATGGCCTAGTAGATAAGGCGTTCATGGGTCATAAGTAACAATTCGTATATGTGGCGAATTAATGAAGTGCCTCATAGGCATCCACCATTGCTCATTTCTTAGGTCGGCAGGTCAAACAAAAGGAAAGGTTGCAGAGGAGTATGAAGTGTTTTGACGATTCGCTGTTCCTTCGTAAGAACTGGCTTATAAATCATTCATTATTTGAGTCGGTGCCGATTATGAAGTTGTTGGCACGATCTTTTTTCAAATAAAATAAACGTATGAGGTCGTGGATTCGAGGCGCCTGATGAATTACTTCGCTAAGACGTCTGTCATCAATCATTGTGACTAGCTTCGACATCGTGACGCAAAGGTGCAAGCAGAACCTTTTAAGGAATACAAACGGAAATTCTGTTTGCTCACAAAATGACCGAGTGTGTCCCTAGGACAGACATTTCCATTCGAGCTGTCGTGTCGCTCGTGGATCCTAGATTTATAAATAGATCGCCTAGAATGATCGAACACATGTAGTGACTGTAAGCAAAACGTTTTCTAAGCTTATCTTTAGAGTTAAATAAGTCAAAGCTAGTAAAATCATGATGACATTCGCACAATTATAAGCACTGAATGCTTATAAAGCTGAAAGAAAAATTCGATATAAATTTTGCCCTTGAAATAGATTCCTTTCTTTGATGCAAGCTATTGCGCTTTAAATCTATCGAAAGCATTTTTCTAATTTTTCTGCTTTAAATTTTTTTTTAAAAGTGGTACGACGTTACAGCCATTGTTTCTACTGGAAGTCATAATTAGATTGCGAAATACCTTGATTTATAGAATTTACCGGGTTTTTAATAAGCTACGTGCCATGTACGACTGACATTGAAAATCACGAGCAGCACCTTAACCTTAACCTTAAACTTCAAACGGCTGTTACCGACTTTATCTACTTGCTAAACCGTGTTAGGTAAGCCAATACGATTTTGCTGTTACAAATACCAGTGACTATACTGCCTATAACCGTTAGTATTATAATAAAAATAAATATATATCACTCTGTTTTGGTGGCACAAAACATGTGATATTCTGATTGAGAAACAAATGATGTGGTACCGTAGCTCGCCTGACCAATCGTTTATATGGTCTTGTCTGGCTGTACAGCTCTGAATGATAACAGGTCATATTAGTTTATGATATAATGAAATTTTATCTAACTATTTCTATCGTAATGCCTTGGGTACGGCTGTTGACAACGTCGAAACCAGACGAGATATTTCTACGTTTTCTGGTTTACGTAGCACAGACACGTGCCAAGTAGCATCACGTCATAATGCGTCAGGCTCTAGCACACGGTCTAAATAGAGACGCCTCTCGTTGTATCATCGAGGCATCCTTCTTCCAACTGTTGCAGATGGGTTCCCGGGTCGAAACAAACGCTCCTGTGCTACTTATTTCATATTTAAGTGTACATGTAACATATCAAATCGGTTCTCTAAGCGATATCGTCTCGTCTTTGGTACGCCTTGCTGCGTTGTCTAGCCAGGTTAGGTGCTACGCTGCCGGGTACAGGTAGTTATGAATAAGCATATTGAATAACAATACAAAGGACGTCCGCGTAGATGGAGTCCACAATACCCGCTGATGGTTTTTCTCAAGGTGACTGTATAGGTCTACCGTAGGCATGTCCGGCATAGTAGTATAGTGGTACATTTTCTGTAGCCGGTTATGTTCCTCCGTGGGCAACGGTACCTTCGACGGGCCACTCATTTTACCCTGCATAGTAGTGTATACCAGGATATATGGTAAGTATTCCATCAAAATTTTGCTGCTCTATGCTGCAGTTAGAAAGCCCATATAGCTTAGGACTCAGAACTGCAGGCTAAATGTAGTAAACGTTGGTTTGATTAAGCATTTCTTACTTTTATTCCCTTACATGGCTCCGCTTCTATTTCTCTTTGTAACGCTCTTCCTTTTCGTTATATCTGCCTCTATTTATATATATATATATATATAGGTTTCGACCGTTCGGATAGACTGAGGGAAAGCAAAAGTGCTGCATCATTTGCTCGGCGGACTCCTTACATCGACTCCGGCTAGCAACCAGTGCATTTCATATACGACATGCAAACTATATAAAAAGGCGCCGTCAATAGGAAATTAAGAGCAGTCATTTTTTAGCAAAGGAACTAGTAGTAATCAAGCCGGAAGTATACATTATTAGGAAACTTAGGAAGTTTTTCAAGTCTGTTTAGTGACACAATACATTTCAATGGCTTTTAAACCGTAGAAAGTGGGACAGCCATACATTTTAGTACATATGAGATCTAATCCCCTTTATTTTCGCGTATTGAAGCCAGAGCTTTGGGAGCTTCTCAGCAGCTGCGTGTTTCTGATTACCGAAACTAGTCCTGTTACTGATGGTTTTGTCTAAAAAAACTATCGCTACCGTACGCTAGGCCACCTACGTTACCATCGTCAAGATCCAACAATCAAACATATACGGACTTAAATTCAAAAACTGAGAGCTAGAGCAATTGCTTAGTTGTGTTTTCATCGATCTAAGCTATAGTTGGATGTTGAGTAACCACACTCTAATGAGACGTTTTTAGGGATTCGCGTAGATCGCTCCGGATTTTCCGGATAACACTACGTAAATAGCAAGTGCGATCGATATCTATTTCGAATATAGGCATACGTTTACGTCTGAATTCACCAAACGTTCGACACTACCATTGAAATAATTTCCTTTTTCGTCTGACGTCGTTTTCTCTCGACTGGTAGCTTCGCCTGGTTCTCTGAGTGGGTGCCACAAACGGACGCAAGTCTCGGCTATGATAAAAATGTGCTCTAAAGGTTTTTTACTGGGCATTGTTGGACAGCTTTTTCCTGCATCTTCACTATTTCCAAAATTGTCGAGCCACATAACAGCTCCAGACAAAGTAATACACTTGCCACCTTGTGACGGTGGGAATCTAATGTGGGCCATTTGTGCACTTTTTTTTCATCTCTGTCAAGTAAAAATGTTTTCCTTTTCTCATCTTCCTCCGCCATCGTTGCTATCGTTACTATTGTAGTCATATAACAGTTTGACTTTGTAGTTTTTTTTTTTTTCGCGTGTCCACTAAAAACACTGAAATAACGTTGAATCCTGTCTTCACAAGATATATTGAGAGAGCTAGTTTGATACTACGGTCAATCTAGCTTCAGCGGTAGAAACTCTTCTAGATACAAATGAGATGCAACAAAATATTTGAGGAGGAAATAATTCACGAACATAAGTTGGCATTTTTTTTTTTTTTAGAGAGACTGATAGTCAGCTAGCCGTTAGTTCAATTTTGCTTACTTTCATGGGAAAATGTATTCGAGACAATGAATGATCCTTCACAACCACAATAAAGTTAGCTAGCGCTGCTGTAATGCTCGAAATGATTCTCGTGTCCTATCTAATTAGGGGGTCCTAATTATTTTTGAGTGATTTGCAAAATGAGAGCATTAAGAGAGAGGCCTTCATAAACCGGACCGCCAGTAGCCTTCTGTCCACTTTTGGTAAATCATTGTAATTTCATTAAAGGAATGGAGCAGCGAAGACTTGCTTTTTGTTGTTGTGTTGGCTTGGTGTACAGTAAATTGATCCAAAGTAATTTTTATCAGAAAACTGAATTGATACGTTGGGTAATAAGTCTCCACGGGCCAAAAAGTCTCATTTTATACAATAATGGCAACTATAATTTTTTTTTTCTTTTTAGTTTCAGGTGAAAACACAACTGCAAAGTCGACTGATCTGGACGATGTCTTGTTGAGAACATTACTGAGTTTGTAGCATAATACAACTACTAACTGGTAAGTGAGTTTAGGGAAAAGTGTTTATTTCTTCCAAAATAATAGAATAATTCGCAGTTTTTTATATAGATAAAGTGTGCTTGGTACGTCTTTTGGTTGGTCTGCTTGATTTAAGATGAGATCTTCTCAACGTTATTCTGTTCAAATCTTCAATTCATTCACGCATGTTTGTAAGCTTACCACGCTGCAACTGGCAAAATAGACGAAAAAGATCAAGATTCTAATATAGCATAGGCATAAAACTATAAATTATTTACTAAAATGCTGTTCATAAAAAAAAAAAAGCTGTAGGATGGCTTAAGAGAAACTTGACTAGGGAAGGCAGAAACATGGTGATCTTTTGCATTTCGGAAGGGTCAATTTAAGTTGGCTTTAATCATACCCATGATATATACACTAAGAAGAAGCGAATCTAGGCTTACAGCGGAGACAGACATTGATGGTTGAGCAATCGCAATATACTTACAAGGCAAGAGATAAATTTATACATAATTTAAGTTGCGCCCGTTTCGATTTTAAAATGTATATTTTTCCTGAACGGTAAGGTTACATTCAAATCTACCTACTTTTGTCTCTGCTTATTTACAGGCCGCTTAATGTTTTCTGCATAAAAGCCTTGGTGGCATTAAGAGTATTTTGATGTGTGGTTGATCCTATCATAGGCCAAAAATATACCTTCTAGTCCATATGTTGCCTATCGGAGACATTGAAAAGCGAGAAGATTTTTATAGCTTACGAAACTCACTACGAAGTGCCCACTATTGCCTCTTAGGTTTGTTGTGGTTTCAGCCACTAGAGCACATGTCATGGCCACCATCGTCATCTCTAATGCTGCCGTCCCTGGGGTTTTCCTTAACTCATGCACTCATTCAGTTGGTAGAATACCTTGGACGGCCAATACAGAGCTGATCCTTATAGCACGATGAAGAGGTTGTTGAAGCGAATCGTATACCGTGGTTGCTCACATCTTTTCATCGCAGCTTGCAACATATATATGTTGTGCTTTGAATCAACCGCGTGATATAACAGCTTGGGCACTCGCGCGGTTATTGTTCAGTTGGCTAAGTAAGATGAAGGTGGGTGGTGAAGAATTGACAAAGAAGAAACACTACAGAATGCCCCGGCTAAGTGGGCAGTCAAAGGGATTTTTTGAAGTTCGCCTAGCATTGAGTTTCTTTCTTTTTGATTCTCCCTATAACACCCTCTCCTACCGAACCTCCGTTTTGTAACTCAGTCATGCTTCTTAGACAATCTTGCTTGGCAAGCTAATTTCCACTTGCAATCAATGCACGTTATGGATGATTATTTACGAACAACCGGCCATGATGTAAACACGCAAAACAAATGTCTGACTTGCAAGTATTAACAGTATAGCAGAATACATATAAACGGAGAGAGAATTAGAATAGTGAAACTTGTTAAGTGGGTTTGACCCACAAAATTATGACGAGTCGGACGAGAGCTCGTGATCAGTTCCACTAGAAGTGTAAGTTTGGCGGTCGAGATGATTTGTTATAATTAAAGTTCGTGTTGCTGAAGTAGGACGCACACTTTTAAGAACGAGCCTTCTCGAAGTACACGTGAAGGGAACAAAGAAACAAAACGATGCAGAGACAACTACTGGCATAAAAATAGATGCGAAATCAATGAACTTAATTACTATGAGGTCTTCCATGGAACATTTTGCTTGAAAACAAGAGGTCAAACATCTAAGATTATTATCATTACCCCTGTTATTAATACTACTACTACGTATTCTGAGATATACCATGTTCTGAATCTGAGGCGGGCCTTTTTTTTGGTGGGTACGGTCGCCAACGTTATCTGTGCTAAATTTTTTCTCGTTAACGTTTTACACCTTTTCTAATTGAGATCAATCAAACATGTCGTATACTATGGATTCTACATAAACGTATTTGATTTCTTACATCTACACGATTGTTCGCAAAGTGCAAGAATTATATAAATTGCATTAGATAGCAAAAGTTCAAATCCCAATTTCCCAGAAGGTGAGTTAACAAGGATATCTTAAAAAGCTCTTCACGCCAAAGGAACTTCAAGGTTGCGCTTGTTCGTATCTTCTAATCATTTCATACGCTGATCTCGTTATTTCCAGCATCCATTGTTAAACAATGACACGAATGTCAATGTAGCTTACCCTGTATGCGAAGCTTTTGTTATCATTTAAAGGGTGTTTGTAGTGCGCAGCGGTGAAGGTTTCAGATTAGACCCCAATCAAACGCTGTTCTGAGAGTCTGAGTGTCACCAAAAAAATGAGCCAAAAGGTCGCTTAGGCTTTTGTTACAATCTAGGCGGATTAACAGGTTCATGATGGAAAGCTAATTTAACCTATCTCTTTTAAGCTGATATCTGTACAGCTGCAATTTATCACAGTAGACGATTTTTTACCCCAAAATATTCATCATCAGAACCTCATGGTGTTTTTACCCATAAAATAAGAATTCGAGTTTCGACTGCTATCTGTTTTGCTCGAATGAAGCGTTACGAGCGGTCTACATGAACCAAATCGTCACAACGGCGGCCATATATTTATTGGTAAAGATTTAAGGGCAAGACGCACCCAGTCTAGCATAGAATCAAACACTGAGAAAGATTATATCAATCATGTTTTATTGTATGGTCAAAATTGCGACGATTGTCTTTTATAAACAAGATCGTATTGCCAATTGCTACGCATACAGTAACTATTAACCTAAATTTTGTCGTATTTCAGGTGATAGACATTGACTAATGGGTACTAAAAGAGATCTTCTCATAAGGAGAGACCAAGATACATGTGGTACGAAAGTGGGTCTCCAAGAAACTTGTTAGTGCAGAAGCAGCTTTTCACGAGACGTCTTTTTTATGCGTCCCCTTTCGTTTGCGTCCATTCTCTTCTTCTACAATTTTGGGAAGGCAGAATTATTACTATTTTCTGTAGTGTTGGCGTAGCGTGAGTCTTAGTCATGCTGTAGACTGCATCTGGTGCCAGTGATCTGTATAAGAGCAAATGTTTCCTGTGCTAGCTTGTCTCCGTCTGCACACAACGATTTTGAGGGGTTTAGCAGGTCAGCCAGCTAGGTTACTTACTGCCTGTAAGTGGTTATTATTTCACGCACGAGTTTGCAAACTTCCAAACTCGCTGGCAACAATCAACGGGCTGACATAACTTTACCAGATAGGAACTCACCCTGTCTCTACACCTGCCTTACTTAAATCTATGATAGTCTGGTAGCAAATAATAGCTTAGTGTGCAGTTTTTTTTTATCTGAACAAACCAATTTCGTAAGCAGCAATAATAATAAAATACGAACTTGACAAATATATATTTTCTTAGTTTGCACCGTTTTCCAATATCTCGTTAAGAGTTAAACAAGCCAGCTGGCAAGCACGGAAGTTTCTATTAAACGATTACGTTATCATTTTCTTCATGAGAGAATTGATCAGTACTTCGGAGTCTATCATTAGACAGAGTATGCTTTATCGAAGATGTTGTTCGGCACGTGGCCGTAGAGAAATACCTCATTTCTCTACGGCCACGTTTGACGGTCCCAACGTGAAAATTCAAACGTCTAACCAATGCGATTTGAACATTTCCATCCGCTTCTTTTAATAGTTGGTTCAACAATAATAACTCCAAACAAACTGCTTTACAGGTTTCATTCACTAAAATCTCCAACATAAGGAACTGTTTTCTCTCCATATATATATATATATCTATATAAAATGAATCCCGTGAACTAGTTATCTCGGAGAAGAAACGGATCGTTAGTATAAACATGCTGATCGATTTTTAAATGAAACATTTCCTTTTTTAAAAATGTAAGCAATCAAAGCTCTTCTCAATGAATAGATTTGCGCAGTGGGTCTGCCCATTAAGTTTATCAACTTGTAAGCTAGAAAACTTTCATGCAAAATGCGTGGTCTTCGTTCCACCCTTTCATGCTTTTTTTTCGTCAAAAATGGTGGTGAACCTGCTAGTCGCTTTTAGGCTAGGCATTCGCCAGGCTCATCCTGCATTTCTGTTTACGATAACGATTGATCTGTAGCTTGCAAATTATATATGTCACAGTTAGGAATACAAACGCTGACATTTTGCTTAGCCTACAGTAGATACAACGTATCTGCATATGCACGTATTTCACTTCATCCACATAGATAGCCTGAAATAACACTGAGGAAACCTATCAATCCAGTTTTTCACCGCTTCATGAATCAGGCATAGATAAGTAGGTAGGTAGGTAGGTAGGTAGGTGAAAGTCCCCCAGTATTCCTAAGAAAATATTCTTATTATAGAAACAATAGTCCCTACACGGGCGTTGAGGGAGCAAAGCGGTAAAATATCGTAGCAATTATTGATAGAGATTTTGCTAGGACTCACTCAGGTCGAAAATCTAATTTGACCTGCTATTTCATTTTTCAAAACAGCTATTGTTATAAGTAAGAGAGGTTGCGTCGAGAAGGTGTTGTTAGATATTAAACCATATGATGAAAGTAATCGGCTACGGCCATTCGGTAGTCGAGAGATCGAGGCTCGCTGAAAATGGCCTGCCACATAGTGTGTATGGGAGCAAAATTAGTTAAGAAAAATACGCGGTAACGAACAAGCAGAATCGGAATACCGTTCAGGACAGACTACAAGGCCTCATATAAAAGGCACAAAAGAAATCCTCCGTATATAGGGATTGCCTGTTTATAATTAAATAGATGCATTATCCCTTCTATGAAGCGTCACACAAGGGAAACGTCGATTAGATAGTGGCCACATTTGTCTATTACGGTCAAGGCCAACTATTTCATGTGTCGGGCTAAAATCGCTTAGCGCCAATACTCTCGCTAAGGGCTTGTTGCCCACAGTGCGGTAGTGACAGTTTCAAATGTACTACTGCTGTTCGCCCTAGCGAAATGTGACTGTATTGTAAACTTAAGGCAAACAGTTTGACGCAATTTCTAAGTCCTAGATCTAAATCGGATCCGTTCCGCCACCATGACAGATAAAT